TCATCAACTAACAAAAAACCTGGCATCACGTGACTGTGCGAAGCAACTTTTTGGGAGGATCACATTAGTTCTTTTTTTCTTTCTTGAAAGAAAAGAGGGGGTCATATGATTGAAGAACTGGAGCATTCGTTAATTTCGAAAGTGTGTAGAAGAACGCATATACATGAAATAATCGATCGTGTACGTGGCTGCACTGAATGTCTGCAGTTAATTTGCTGAGCCCACGGTCAAATTAACTCGCGAACACGCATGCGTGCGTGCACAATGTGCAGCTTATGCGCGCATTCATGGTGCTTGTGCATATTTCTGGGCGAGAGGAAGCAACGGTAATCAGTGTACGCGTGTGGTTCATGATGAGCCATGCACGCACGCACGCATTCATAGTCACAGTCCCACGCCGTCGGCCGCGCGCGCGTGCCGGCGGTTGTCGGTGGCGGGTGGGGAAGGGAAGGGAAGGCAACGTGACTGACGACCAAATCACCGAACGATGAGTCTTTTTTTTTCGCGAACGTAAAAGGATTACATGTCAATATATTAGCACCGAAAAATGAGTCACCAACCAAACAATTGGGGAGGATCGTACGGTCATTGCCGTTGTTGCCTCACACATGTGGAGGGAGGGGAAGTCGCAGCCACCATCACCCGGAAACACTAATGCGCGATCAATCGCTACCGCGATGGGGTAACGATCACCACCCCTCCCCCCCTCCCTCCCTCCACGTTTTCTTTTTTGGCACCGCATTACTTTTCTATTTTAGTAAATTTACACACCTAAAGTTTATACGCCTAAAGTTTATATACCCAAAATTTATAAATCAAAAGTTTATATATCCGATTCAAATTTAAATTTGAATTCAAATATTTTTTATAGTATTTCTATACATCTAAAGTTTATACACCTAAAGTTGTAGACCCAAAGTTTATAAATCAAAAGTTTATATACCCGACTTCAAATTTGAATCGGGTATATAAACTTTAGGTCTATAAATTTTAGGTGTATAAACTTTAGATGTATAGAAATACTATATATAAAAAAAAAATTTGAATTCAAATTCAAATTTGAATCGGATATATAAACTTTTGACTTATAAATTTTTGGTCTCTAAACTTTAGATGTGTAAACTTGAGGTGTATAAATTTACTAAAATAGGAAAGTAATGCGGTGCCAAAAATGAAAACCAGGTGGAGGGAGGGAGGGGGAGGAGGGGGGGGGCTACCGATCGCTACCAGATCGGTAGGGCGATCGATCGCCCATTAGAACTAGGAATAAGTCTATTTTTCCTCCCTCATCTATTGCCCTTGGTCGAAAAACATCCCTCAAACGCAAAACCGGATATAACACCTCCCCCATCTTCGAAAACCGGTGCAAATCGACTTCTTGAGTGGTTTTGAGTGGTTTAGGCTGATGTGGCAGGTTGACTTGATTCAAATGTGCTGATGTGGCAGCCAGGTCATCAAAGGGATTAAAAATAGAAGTGGGTCCCACGTGTAAGTGACAAATGCTAAAATAAAACAAATGGTGGGGCCCACTCGTCAGCCCCATTTTTTCTTATCTTCTTCCTCCCTCCTCTCTCTTTCTCGCAGCCGCACGCGCGGAGGCCAATTCGGCCGCGCGGCGGCGCCCTTCTCATCCCAGTGAGCTTCTCCTTCGCGCCCAGCCGGCCGCAGCCTCCCGGCGAGCTCCTCCAACACACGCGACTAGCCGTGGCCTCCCGGCGAGCTCCTCCCCCGTGCCCGGCTGGCCGCGGCCTGTCACGCCCAGAAATTTAGCCCAAATTTCCAGACTATTTTGTGTATTAAATCCCTGTCCAGGACCAGCCAGGGTACACAAAACGACAAGTAATATACAGTTCCAAACGTAAATAAAGCGTAAAATACTTACAAAAGAGGCACTTAGTCCTCGCACCGAAACGAAAACAGCAGCAGCGGAAAAAGGCGATCCTAGCGGGGCTTCAGCTCCACTCCACAGGCAAAACTCAACTGGGGTCTGAGCCTTGGTCCTCTAACTTCGTCTTCAGCTCAGAAGCACTACACTTCTGAAAAGGGGGAATAATAGCAAGACTGAGTACAACCACCGTACTCAGCAAGCCACACCAACGATGCAGACGTGCAAGGGGAACACAAGGACGGTTTGTGGCTATTTGCATAAAGGCGGTTGTAAAACATTTTATTGAGCAAAACAGTAAAACTGTTGAGTAATTAAAGTAACATTAAATCTCCACTGATCAACGCTACACCACGTTGAACAGGCCCAACCAACCCACCTAAACTACAGTGTATTAGGTCGATTTATTAAGTGTGAGACTAATCACGGTGAATCTGGTCGACCGCCCATAACCGCGGGCACGGCTATTCGAATAGTTTTACTCTGATCAGAGGTGTACAACTGTACCCACAAGACACAGCCCCACGACACGTTCCCGTGCGCCGACATGCCACCACGACATACCGGAAAGAGGCCGTGACAGGACCCTTCGCATAACCCCCTCTAACCGATCGCACCACACCTTAGGGTTCGCCCCCGTCCCCAGCAGGCAACGGGCAGCCCCCCTTTCGTGCCGCGGTGAATCCGGAAGCCGATCAACCGGACACCCCGGCCGACCCAACTCCATCACGCCCACCCTCGCCTGGGTACGTCGGCTAGAGAAAAGCTACACTACAAGCCCAGCCGTTGCCCACGCTGGCTTGTGGTAAGTACGATAAGTTCTTCCAGGGCATCCCGCGAACCGGTCCTTAACTGCCATGGGTGCGACCAGCAAAACCATGCACCCACAGCCCACCATTCAGTCGCATTTTAGTTGGATAATTACGACCATGAAGCATGGCCAGGTGTCTCGAGCACGCAGCTCACTCTGATACTAAAAAGGTCTAATACTGCAATTATCCCATCAACTGAGCTAGTGGTAATTAAGCATGGCTAAGCATATAGTTCTAGCTAGGTCACATAAGTAACATGAGCTAGTCGATTCATTACCCAAGGTTGACAAAGAACAGATATCAAGTAAACATGGCACAAGCGAGCAGATAGGTAAAACCCTGACCCCATGTAATTAGCAAAACATGCATATTTGTTTGCAAACAGTAAAACATTTGTAAATTGGGATCAACATGCTCAAGGGGAATGTGTGACTTGCCTTGCTTCTTCACTTGGATCTTCTGAACTCTTATCCTTGCGAACGCGATCTTCCGAAACGATGGGAACTACACGCTGGCATGCAAAACGAGGAAAAACTCTAATAAAAACCAAGAAAACAGTACATAAAAAGTAAACCAACATGTAGAGCTCAATTTTAGATGAATTTTGCAAGTTGAATGGCTCAATTCGTAATTCGAATGAATTAGATATGAATTTTAGAAGTTTTGGGCCATTTAAATGAATTTTTAGAATTAAACACGATTTATTGCGCAATTATTAAATATTTTCTCAAAGGAAATGGCATTCGCTGACGTCAGCAAGGGGCGCCGACGCCGACAGGTGGGCCCAACACGTCAGCGGGTCAAGGAGGTGCGGGCTTGGACCGGGTCCACCAAATGAGCGGGCCCCACGCGTCAGCGGGCAAAAGGATCTAGCCCACCGTGGACCGAGTCCACGGTAGAGGTGCAAGGCGGAGGGGTGGGTTGGCTCGCCGACCAACCCGACCAGACGGCGGCGCGCGGCCGGACGGCCACCGGCGGCGACACCGGCGGCGGCGCGGCGCGGCGCGACGGCGACACGCATGCGGCGGCCGGCGGGCAAAGAGAGAAAAAGAAAGGGAGGGGAGGAGGAGGGAGATGCTCACCGACGCGGGAAGGACGACGACGACAACGGTGATGGCGGCGTCGGCCCGACGAGCGAGGGGGCGGCCGGGGAGCGGCGAAAACGAGCGGAGGAGGCGAAAAGGGAGGCGGCGGAGCTCACCGAGGGGCATGGCGGCGAAGGAGGCGGCTGATGGGGCTCGAGCAGAGGGAGGCGGCAGCACTCCACGGGGCGAAGACGACGGCGGTGATTCGGCGGTCTCCAACGAAGGTGGAAGAGCGGCCGGGGTACCACGCGATGCAGCGAAGCCGACGGTGGTAGGGCGCGGCTTGGCAGTGGCTGGAGCGGCGAGGAGCGGCGGCCGGAGCTCGTCGGTGAGTGGTGGAGAGAGGGAGCGCGGTGGGGAGGTGGTTCCGGCGATGAAATGGGAAAACGGAGTGGGGCCGAGGTGCGGCAAGGCACGGCGAAGCCGGTGGTGCAAGCGCCGCGGCGCGGGGACGTCGACAGTGGCGGCAGCGGCCGGCTGGAGGGTCGCCGGCGATCGGCGGCGCTTGGGCTCGTGTGGGGAGAGCGGGAGAGAGCGCGGGGAGTGCGGGAAAGTTGGGGAAAAGGGAGAGGATGGCCGGGGGATTGTTTTTATAGGGGAGGGGAGGCGGGATCGAGCCCGGGAGAGGCGGAGTCGGGGCGGCAACCGCCGGTGGCGTGGGCGGCATCGTGGGGTGTGGGTGGCGGTTTTGGAGGGGAGAGGTGGGGGGAAACGGCGCGGACGTGGGCGGCGAGGTCCCACGGACGAGCGCGCGCGCGGGGTGGAGGAGGTGGGCGGAAACGGCCGCGTCGTGGGGCGGCTCGGGCGGCCATGGCAGCAACGGCAGCTGCCGGCCTGAGGTTGGGGATGACAGGTGGGGTCCACGGGTTCCATCTGTCGGAGAGAGAGGGAGGGAGAGGCCGGCTGGGGAGGCAAAACAGACTTGAGGGAGAGAGAGAGAGCCGAGCGGGCCGAGGGAGAAGGCCGGCCCGAGAGGGAGATAGGGGGGAATTGGGCCGAAAGGGGCCCAAAGAGAGGAGGGAGGATTTTATTTTTTTTCTTTTTATTTTAATTGATGCAATGATCTTTGTGCTATTAAAACTATTTCTCGAGCTCCGAAAATTCACGGAAAATTCCGGAGAGTACATTAGGGCACAAAGAATATTACAAAATATTTCCGGCCAATGATTTTTAAAGGAAAATTTCAAATTCTCCCATTATTTCACTTGATTAAATTGATTTAACTTTTATTTAATTTCTAGAAAATGTATTATTAATTGATTTTTATTCCCGAACGAAAATCGGGGCGTTGCCTCCCGGCGAGCTCCTCCCCCGCTCCCGGTCGGCTGCGACCTCCCGGCGAGCTCCTCCCTCGTGCCCGCCCGGCCACGACCTCCCGGCTGCAACGCCATCTTCTCCACGAGACCATGGAGCCCCGTTGCTCACGTCGCCCATCGGGGACGAAGATGGCCATGGAGCCCGTCGGTCCCGCCGCCCAGTGGCTCCTGCCGCTCCGCCGGGCTCCCGCGGTCTCGCCGCCTAGCGGCTCCTGCCGCCCCCGCCGCCCCGCCGCTCCCATCGCTCCGCCAGGCTCCCGCGGTCTCGCCGCCCCGTCGCTCCTGCCGCTCCCGCCGAGCTCCCGCCGTCCCGTCGCTCGCGCCATCTGGTCGGATGGGAGGTGGTTCATTCGTTCATGGACGTCTTCCATGTCACCGACCGCCTCGGTTGCAAGCTCACCAACGACAGCGTCATCACCTACATCGAGCAGGTTGGTGGGTTTTCTTGGTGGTTTCTTGATTCTGGCACGAGTGTTCGACGGAGTTGGGATTTTCTGATGGCATACATGGCTTCTTTGCAGTCTCTGGGGATGTGGAACGGGCCAACGCGGCCGATGGCGCTCGAGGGGTTGACGGCGCTGGAGCTGACAGGGGCCGACCGGACGGGGCTCATCTCGGAGGTGTTCGTCGTGCTCGCCGACATGGACTGTGGCGTTGTGGAGGGCCGCACGTGGACGCACCGCGTCCACCTCGGCTGCCTCATCTTCCTCCGCGACGAGGAAACCGACACCGAGAGGATGGCATGAATCGAGGCCGCCTCGGACACCTCCTCCGCGGCGACTCCAGCAGCGCCGGTGGCGGCGCTGTGGCCGCTGTCCCCACCCCCGCCGTCACGCACGCCGAGCGCCGCCTCCACGTTGGACAAAACCACCTCCGAAACCACCGAGGGAGATGATTTGCTCTGGTTTTTAGAGAAGAAGGAGGTGTTATACCCGGTTTGTTATACCCGGTTTTCCGATTGAGGGATGTTATTCACACAAGCGCAGGAGATGAGGGAGGTAAAATGGACCTATTCCTTAGAACTACCCACCATCACCGCCAATTCCACCGTGCGGCCGTGCCTGATCCACCAATCTTCGCTGCCTGACACGCCCATCGACGGCCCAGGCTGTCTGTCCGTCACTTCACATTCGGCCCAGTTTCTGTCACTCCCGTTCGGCTAAGCCCATGCAAAATGGCCCGGCGTTACAGGGGCCTAGTACGTGCTGATGACCAAGTAATTTGAGCCAGGGGTTTGCAGTATTGATGAACTCAAAAAAGGGCCTTAAATTCCATTACTCTATCCATTCAAAATGGTATAACAAAGCACAAGAGGATTAAGGTGCAATAGGGTAGGATGTCTTTGTGGTGTCTCTATACGGGTGAGTATACGCATGTGTATACGAGAGTCTTTGTCGCAAAGAGAAAAGTAAAATTATTGTTGCTACTTACCCTTGTCCCAAAATAAATGGATGCGTAGCATATAAAAAACAATATTGTGGAGAAAAACCAAAATGCTCCTAATTATTGGAAAGTTGTATTGGACCTCGTTCAGATGGGATGATATATCTGAGATATCTCCTGCTATCTAGTAGGTATTAGCTGATATCTAGATATCACGTGATATCTCTAAGGTATCATTTCGTCCAAACAAGATATCGCCCTATAACACTTTTATTTTTTTTTTCCTTTCGACCGTGATTAACGCTTCATGTGAGGAGGCCATGTGAGGTATGTCGCGGAAAGGCCGTGGGGAGCCAAGACCCAATCTCTCACGGCCTGCTAGCTGCCAGGCCCATCCAAACACTTGTATACCCCAGCTAGATACCTATTTAGAAAAAGAACGGAAAGGAAAAAGTCTACTTTAACTTTTTTAAAAGTACGCCGAATCTAATTCGTACCCTTTAAGCAGAAAACCGGGTAGGATGACTCCCTCAACTATTAAAACTGGTATAATTTGACTCCCTCAGCGATTTTGGAGGGCGGTTTCGTTGACGTGGCATTTTGACTTGGTCCAACCGGCTGACTCAGCATGTGGGACCCACATGTCAATGTCACATTTTCCTCTTCTCTATTTCTTTTCTCATTTTCCCCTCTTTTTCTCCATGGTGTTGGGCGGTGGCTGGCGGCGACGTCTTCTCTGCACCCGTGTCGCTGCCACTGGTGGAGTACGCCGAGCGCGCCACACGGGACGGCGTATCCGTGAATTTCAACGCACTGCAGCTCATCGGTGATGGCGGGAGAGGAGGTAACCTTCGTGTCGGAGTGAGGCGGCGCCGGGAGGGGGGGCGGGGGCTGTTCCTGTGTCGGCCGGGGTCCGAGCGGGCTGAGCCGCTGCCGACGGTGGGGAGACTGTTCCATGACCGCCCCTCGGCAGCTGCAGGGCGTTTGGGTGTACCGCACCACCGCTTCGTCTCCAAGCCAACCCGCCGCAGCTCCCCCTCTAGGCCAGGCCACCGCCACTCCGCTCAAGACCGGGGCAACGCTGCGCGTCAGGAGGTCTAGCCACCGCTTCGCCTCGAGGCCACAGCATCGATTCGCCTTGGGCCATGTCGTTGCTCCGCTTCCGAGCCAGGTTGCCGCCTGTCATGCCCAGAAATTCACGAACCATAATTTCTAAGCTGAATGTGCATTAAACCCCTGTCCAGGACCAGCCAGGGTACACAAACGACAATTGTTGACATACAGATCCACGTCTTACAAAAATATAAAAGATTACAGATGCAGCGGAAAAGATAAAAGCGAGATAAGCCTAAAGACTTGACTCCTGTAGCGGGGCGATTCCATTCCACAAGCATCCTTGACGGCAGCGACGAAACCAACTTCTTCGAGACATTTCCAACTGAGAAGAACTTCAACTCTGGTGTGGGGGAAAAGAGAGCAAGACTGAATACCACCCACTGTACTCAGCAAGTCGTACCGGAAGAGGAGGTATGATGCAGGATATATCCAAAGGAGGCTAAAGGTCCTTTTGCATAAAGCTAGCATTTAAAAGCAGTAGTTGAAAGCAGTAAAACAGTTGCAGTAATTAATCAATGTTAACCAATCAATGTCCAACGCTACACTACGTTGTAACAGGCCCAACCAACCACCTGAACTACACCAGTTCATTAGCTAACTAGGGGTGGGACTAATCACGGTGAATCTGGTCGACCGCCCATAACCGCGGGCACAGCTATTCGAATAGTTTTACTCTGATCAGAGGTGTACAATTGTACCCACAAGACACAGCCCCACGACACGTTTCCGTGCGCCGACATGCCACTACGACATACCGGAAAGAGGCCGTGACAGGACCCTTCGCATAACCCCCTCTAACCGATCGCACCACACCTCAGGGTTCGCCCCCGTTCCCAGCAGGCAACGGGCAGCCCCCCCTCGTGCCGCGGTGAATCCGGAAGCCGATCAACCGGACACCCCGGCCGACCCAACTCCATCACGCCCACCCTCGCCTGGGTACGTCGGCTAAAGGAAAGCTACACTACAAGCCCAGCCGTTGCCCACGCTGGCTTGTGGTAAGTACGGTAAGTTCTTCCAGGGCATCCCGCGAACCGGTCCTTAATCGCCATGGGCACGACTAGCAAAACCATGCACCCACAGCCCACCATGTAGTGTATTTTAATTAACCAACACCATTGCGGTGGCACTAATCCAAAGCTATGCCAATAATCAAAGTCTATGCTTTAATGTAATCCCCCTTTTGTGTACTAGTTGAACTAAGCATGGCTAAGCATTTCCTAAACCAACATCTAGTCATTTTAATACCCAAGTTATCAATGGCATAAGGTAAACAATATATGGCTGAGTAATAGGGCCCATCCCACATGATATTGTAAAATAGTGCAACATTTAATAGAAATGCGGGACATTTGTAAATTGGGTATAATATGATCAATTGTAATGCATGACTTGCCTTGCTCTTGCACTGATGAGACCACAACAACGTCTTCGAGGAATCGCGGATCGACGAAACGGCCGAAATCTATGCGACAAACAAAGCACACAAGCAAAACATGCTATAAGTCCACTGAAACAGGAAACAAAACCATTTTTAATGGATTCTATGCATTTTTATGAATTTACTGAGACTTGAATGGACTTAATCGGAGCTCGGATAAATTAGATATGAATTTTAGAAGATTATCTGTGTTTTTACTAATAAAGAAAAAGCCTTAATGTATTTATTGCGCAATATGTCCCAGGGCTGACGTCACCCAAGGGAGGGGGTGGTGCCGACATGCGGGCCCCACGGGCCAGCGGCACAAAGAGAGGGAGAGGGGGTGGTTGGCTGGCGGGCCCCACTGGCAGTGGCACAAGGCGGGAGGGCGCGTGGCTGGTGGCTCGGCTCGGCTTTAAAGCCTGCCGGCCAAGCGTGGCGAGCGGCGGCGGCACGCGCGGTCACCGGCTACGGCAACCGGCGGCAACCGATGGCAAGCGGCGGCGCGCGACGGCACCACCGCTAGCGGCGGCACCGCAGCGGCACGGCACCACGACGCGACGGCGGCGCGCAAGCGGTGAGCGGCGGTGAGAGAGGAGAGGAAGGGGAGGGCCTCACCGACGATGAACGAGGGGGGCGAGCAACGGACCTAGGGAACATGATGAGAGAGGTTAGAGGGAGAGAGGGAGTCCAGGGCGCATGGCATAGCCGGCCGGAGGCGATGGTAATGGAGATGCTCACCGGCGCTTGGGGAGAAGCGGGCTCCGGCGGTGGACTTCGACGGAGGAGGGATGGACTAGGTAGCCCTTGACCTCATGAGGCCAACGGCGGCAATGGAGTGGCGCGGCGACGGCACTAGCGACGGCTAGCGGCGGTTGGAGACAGCGGTAGGCGGCGGCGCGTGGGAGCGGCAGTATGGCAGCAACACGTGGCAAGTGAGCAGTGGCTGAGATAGCCCCCGTAGCGGCGAAGCTAGCGGCGGCGAGCGCACGCCGGCGCTTGGGGAGAAGCGGGCTCCGGCGGCGGACTTCGACAGAGGAGGGATGGACTAGGTAGCCCTTGACCTCACGAGGCCAACGGCGGCAATGGAGTGGCGCGGCGACGGCACTAGCGACGGCTAGCGGCGGTTGGAGATAGCGGTAGGCGGCGGCGCGTGGGAGCGGCAGTATGGCAGCAGCACGTGGCAAGCGAGCAGTGGCTGAGATAGCCCCCGCAGCGGCGAAGCTAGCGGCGGCGAGCGCACGGCGTGGTGATGGCTTTAGCAACGGCGGCGTGCGACCGGAGCTCGGCGGCGAGTGGCGGCACTAGCAGCGAACGGCGCGGCGGCGTTAGAGAGCGTGGGAGAGCGCGGCGAAAAGGGGAAATGGGAGAGGAGGACGTGTGGTTGCTTTTTATATGCGCGGGGAGGGCGGACACGGCTGGGAGGTGGCCGGATTTCTCGCCGACGTCGGGGATGGAGAGAGAGAGTGGGGGGATTCGAATTAAATCCCGCCCTTGCAGGCGCACGCGCGTGGGCGGGAGAAGGCGGGGCGTGGGGGCGGCGACGTGGGGGCGTGGAGCGCGGAGTGGGCGCGGGAGGAGCGGGGGAAGCGGTGGCGTGGGGAGGTGGGGGCGCCGGCAGTTGGAGCTCGGCTCCAATCGGCTGGAGGTAGGGGAAGGGCTGACAGGCGGGCCCCACCTGTCAGTGCCTGAGAGGGAGAGGGAGGCCGGGTGAACTTCAGGAGAGGGAGGGAGGAGCGGGCCGGCGCGGGAAGAAATGGGCCGGCGGCCCAAGAAGGAAAAAGGAGGGAAAAAGAAAACAGAAAAGGGAAAAAGGATTTTCTCAGGGATTAAATATTGCACTTTGCTTATTTTAATTGGTTAAAATTATTTCCAAGGCTTTGAAATTTTCACTAAAAATCCTGTTAGCATATTTTGACATGTAGAATCCAAGAAAAAATCCACATGCCGATTCCGATTATTATTTACATTTATTAATTTGATGAATTAGCTCTAGGTTAAATTAAATCATTTCTTCGGACGATTTATTTTATGAATTTTAAAGCAAGGAGGGGAACTTCAGGGCGTGACACCGCCGCTCTGTTTGATGGCGGGCCTGCTCCTCGTCCCTGCTCATCTGCAGCTGTACCTAGGTGGTCCAAGCTAGAGGGAGTCGGTGGCATGCCACCACCGCCGCTGCCTTCTCATCGTCGTCATCCTCGCCTCGAGCCTCGGCTTCGGGTCATCGGCGCGCTTGCTGCTGCCGCTGTTGTGGTCGTCGCCGCCGCCACCACCTACGAGGGAGATCGGCATCGCATCGCGGATGAGTGGTGAAAGCCTGAAAATGGGAGATGGGATTCGAGAGGCGAGGCGCACACCGGGAGGGTTCTTCTGCTTCCTAGTCTCTGCCTCCATCACCGTCTCCCGCAATGACGATCCTGTGATGTCCGTCCCATGTGGCGGTGCTCGGCGTACTCCACCAGTGGCAGTGGCACGGGAGGTCGGGCGCAGAAAAGACGTCGCTGCCAGGCGCTAGCCACCGTGCAACGCCCTGAAGAAAGAGAGGGGAAAACGAGAAAAGAAAGAGAGAAGAGGAAAATGTGACATTGACATGTGGGGTCCATATGCTGAGTCAGCCGGTTGGACCGGGTCAAAGCGCCACGTCAACAAAACCGTCCTTCAAAACCACTGAGGGAGTCAAATTATAATGGTTTTAATAGTTGAGGGAGTCATCCTACCCTGTTTTCTAATTAAAGGGTACTCCCTCCATTTCACAATGTAAATCATTCTACCATTTCCCATATTCGTATTGATGTTAATAAATCTATATAAATACACATGTCTAGATTCATTAACATCAATATAAATGTGGGAAATACTAGAATGACTTACATTGTGAAACAGATGAAGTACGAATTAGATTCGGCATACTTTAAGGGAGTTAAAGTGGACTTTTCCTTTCCGCTTTCTCCGATGGAGGATCTATCGCGACGCGAATTCTTCGCCCATCTCTTCGTGCCACACGTCGAAAAATTGAAGGACCAACGTTTGAACCAATCAGCAGGCGCTAGAAGCCCGAATTAAATTTGAAAATATACTTTGATTCGTTTATTTCTCAAAAATATTCGGAATGCAAATTTATTAGCAGAAATATACCGTCGATCTCACACAATTATTTCACGAAAGTGACGTGGGAGTGATGTTGTGAACAGTCTCGCGTGAGGAGAGCGCGAGACCGCACGGTATCGCATGATCATAGCACGAGACCGCTCGGTCTCGCACGACGAAATCGAGGACGTACACGGCGGCGGCGTCAGACCACGCGGTCTCGCGCGGCCAAACCGCGAGACCGAGCAGTCTCGCTCAGCGATAGCGACTGCCTCTGCCGATTGAATAAGGTTAATTAGTGATTAATTAATCGCTAATTGGAATAATTAATCACTAATTATTGTTAATTAATCATTAATTATGGTAATTAATGACTAATTAAGCAGCTCCGTTGGACATGACATTCGGTCTCGCTGATTTCTTATGCGAGACTGTTCGGTCTCGCTGCTTCATCACGCGATACCGTGCGGTCTCGTGCTCCTACTGTGTGACACTGGTATATTTTCGCTAAAAAGTATACATCACGAATATTTCTGCGAAAAAACCAAATCAATAGTATATTTTTAAATTTAATTCCTAGAAGCCCCAACTTTAGATTTTTAGATTTATGCACACGATGCACGAGTGCAATTACTATATTACGTTCAATCGAGAATAAGCGAAACTGTAGCACCAGATATGATTCTGTTATACCTTCATGGATAGTACGTGCTTAGGCTGAATGCTTGTGTTGAGAGCTCACTACTAGTTTCAAATTATCTATAGTCAATGTAATAGCCAATTCATACGATAGTTGCTTACTATACTATTAATATATGGTCCACATATCATACACCCATTGCGTCTTGGAGTCCGTGCTACAGCTGGCTACAGATCTGTAGCCCGCTACTTTTCTATATCTTCTTTTATCTCTTTAAAATATGTTTATAGCTGGCTTATAGCCTGCTATTGTACATGCTCTGATTGGTATATAGACACATGATGCTCCCATGCTTGTGCAGTTGTGTAAGCAGTCGATCGAGCAAAGCGTACGTGTAAGCAGCCATGGCTCAATTGGGTCAACTCGACGCCGAGAGCAACGTCGTCGTCGCCCCTACCGCTACCGGAGACGAGGGAGCCGACATCGTCCTCGCGTCGCTTCCGACTAGGGAAGGATGGTGGACGGCGTTCGTCCTCTACCACGGCTGCTGGATGACGCCGCAGGCCGCGACGAGCGTGTCGCTGGTGCGCGCCCAGTTCGCGCCGCGCCCCGACGACGTGCTCCTCGCCACCTACCCAAAGTGCGGCACCACCTGGCTCAAGGCGCTCTCCTTCGACATCGCCAACCGCTCCCGCCACCCCGTCGCCGGCGCCGGCGACCACCCGCTGCTCACGACCCACCCGCAGGACCTCGTGCCGTTCATCGAGACGCCATTCCGCCACCTCCACCCTCTCTCTGCCCTCGACGCGCTCCCGTCACCGAGGCTTCTCTCCACCCACCTGCCGCACCAGCTCCTCCCCCCGCGTGTCGCCGAGCTCGGCTGCCGCATCGTCTACCTCTGCCGGGAGCCCAAGGACGTCGTCGTCTCCACATGGCACTTCATGAACAAGGTAGGCAATGGCTTCTTCCTCGACCTCGACGAGGCCTTCGAGCTGTTCGTCGATGGCTGTTCCCTCTACGGGCCGATCTGGGATCACTGCCTACACGGTGCTCTTCCTCAAGTACGACGACATGATGGCCGACCCGGCCGGCCACGTCAAGAAACTCGCCGAGTTCCTCCGCGTCCCGTTCACTGACGAGGAGGTCGGCACCGGCGTCGTCGTGGAGGTTGTGAGGCTGTGCAGCTTCGAGAAGCTGAGCCGCCTGCCGGTGAACTTCTCCGGGGTGGTTGATCGGATCGGCGGACGACCGATGGAGAACTCGTCGTTTTTTAGGAAGGCGAAGGTTGGAGACTGGAAGAACAACTTGACTCAAGAGATGGCGCAGAAGCTTGATGCCGTTATTGCGGAGAAGCTGAAAGGATCTGGTCTCACCTTCTGAGTATGGGGATTCGTGCTTGCTTTTTATGCATGCATTGCTCCTGTAAAAGTAGAACAGTAATCTTCAGCTGTAACTGAGTTGTGTCCAATTATGTACGTGCACGCTCGTACAGGAGTTGGAAACCATGTACTGTGTATTGATTTCCTCGTGGACACATTTTATCCCTTCCTCCCCATTTATTCCTTTCTCTTTTGTATTCCTATTCCTCCTCGCATTCTTGGCAACGGTGGCGGGCACTCCCGCCCATCCACGGGAAAACGGCAGCGGCCTCGTGACAATGAAGGAGAAGAGGATGGAACCAACGAGTTTGATGAGTTCGCCAGCCCGTCCGCGGGAATGAAAACCGCTTGGAGAAAAATATGACCTGCTCGGAAGTTCTATATGCAGGTGATAGGAATCGGATGGATGAGATTGCCATGCATTCTTTTGATCACACCATGATTGATGCACAAATCCATATGAACAATTCAAGGCAGAGGGGAAATAGGGAGCAAATTAACATCGATCACTATATTCATTGATGGTACGTTGAAACGTACCGATACTTTGCTAACATATACTCCATATGTTCCATAATATAAAGGATTTTAAAGAGATATGACACATTGTAATAGGGAGTAGCTATATTTATGGCGCCATATTTTAACAAAAAAATAGTCAGTATGTATTTACATTGTAAGTTTATAAATTACATATGTAATTTTAGTGTATTTACAATGTAAGTCTCAAAATTACATATGTAATTTTAGTGTATTTACAATATAAGTCTCAAAATTATATATGTAAGTCCCAAAATTACATAAGTAAATTAAGAAATTACATATATGTAACTAGTATATAATCATCACTCATCATTATGTATGTGTGGAAATAATCTTCTTCTGCCTCACGGAAGCACAGTTGGGAGGCCTCAGGCCTGTGCTGTTGTGTGGCATAGGCATGCATGCAAACCGACTGTAATCAATGGAATTTTACGGTGCCATAAATTTAGCAAATCTGTTGTAATATTATAAATCTAGACAGTGGTATCATATCTCTTTAAAATCTCTTATATTTTAGGACAAAGTGAGTGCTTTAAAAAAACAGAGGGAGCTAGCTACCCTATATAAAATATTCATGCACACGATGCACGAGTGCAATTACTTATTACATTCAATCGAGAATAACCGAAATTGTACCACCATGATATGATTCTTAATTTTATAGCTTCATCGATACGTGTTTTAGGCTGGATATGCTTGTGTTGATTGGTAAAGACACAGGATAATATATATATATATATATATATATATATATATATATATATATATATGCTTCCTGCTTCATGCTTGTGCAGTTGTGTTATTTGTTGCTCCAAACCACTAAGCTCACTCGTGTCAGCCGAGCAAAACTTAAGCAGCCATGGCTGAAGGTCGTCAGCTCGAAGCCCAGAGCGTCGTCGTCCCTACAGCCACCGGAGACAAGGGAGACGACATCCTCTCGTCGCTTCCGACGAGGGAAGGATGGTGGACGACGTTCGTCCTCTACGACGGCTGCTGGATGGACCGGCAGGCAGCGATGAGCGTGTCGCTGGTTCGTGCCCAGTTCGTGCCACGCGACGACGACGTGCTCCTCGCCACCTACCCAAAGTGCGGCACCACCTGGCTCAAGGCGCTCTCCTTCGCCATCGCCAACCGCCACCGCCACCCCGTCGTCAGTGCCGGCCACCACCCCTTGCTCACCCAAAGCCCGCATGACCTCGTGCCGTTCATCGAGCTGCCCTTCCGCCATATCCACCCGCTCGCGGCGGCCCTCGATGCGATCCCCTCCCCGAGGCTGCTGGGCACCCATATGCCGCACCATCTGCTTCCCCCGCGCATCGGTTGCCGCATCGTCTACCTGTGTCGAGAGCCCAAGGACGTCGTCATCTCCACGTGGCACTTCATGAACAAGGTAATAGAAGGATTCTCCATTGATTTCGACAAGGCCTTCGAGCTGTTTGTCGATGGGTGCTCCCCCTTCGGGCCGATCTGGAACCACTACCTAGGTTACTGGAACAAGCACGTCGAGGAGCCCGACAGAGTTCTCTTCCTCAAGTACGACGACATGATGGCCGACCCGGCCGGCCACGTCAAGAAGCTCGCCGAGTTCCTCCGCGTCCCGTTCACCGACGATGAGGTCGACGCCGGCGTCGTCGAGGAGGTGGTGAGGCTGTGCAGCTTCGAGAAGCTGAGCCGCCTACCGGTGAACTCCTCTGTGGTGGCTGGTCGGGTCGGCGTCGACGAGCGGCCAATGAAGAACTCGGTGTTTTTTAGGAAGGGTAAAGTGCGGGACTGGAAGAACTACTTGACCGAAGAGATGGCCAAGAAATTAGATGCCGCTATCGAGGAGAAGCTGAAAGGATCTGGTCTCACCTTATGATTAGCTTAATCTAATATCGTTATGTTGTTTCTTTTAATGTATGCTCTCGGTGTGTCTTGTGTACAAGTACAATAATCTTCACAATGCCTTGTAATTATGCTATGTCCAATTGTATGCACCATTGTACAAGAGTTGGAAATATTATATTCCTGCAATAAAATGTGATCTTTCTTTGTGTTCTTTTTGTAGGAAACCTCAAAAAAGGGCATGAGCTCTCACAATTTCACTATGTAAGAAGAGAGTTGATCCAGTTTATGAGGAAAACCGGATCTAAAACTCTTACAACAACACGGTTTTATAAGGAAAACTGGCGAAAACTCTGACATTGTCATAGTAAGCTATCCACATGGACCAAACAAACTAAGCTTAAGACCAACTATCTAACAAGGGAAATTCCTAAGATGAAGCTTCAAAATGAACCAAGTCCATAGGACAACAACAACGTCCGATCCATAAAGAATCTAAGGTTCTCACGCGGAGAGAGACCCCTAAGCTAGAGGAAGGCCCTATAGCAACGCTTCCAAGAAAGTGAACGGTTCCCAAGAGCATCATAGTCGCTAGCTCTGGCAAGCCGAGCAAGGCTTTCGCCCCAGGATTACATCCAACCACCAAAACCACGAGGAAAGCTACACAATATCGTCTGCACACCTAAAACCACCTTCACAGCCAATGTCCTTGCCTCGAAGTCCAAACACCGCAAAGCCATAGCTAGCCACCACACCACAGAACAATGCTCCTCACGATTGGAAGGGGAGGAGCCTTATGCACAAGCGGTCTGGGCACAAGCGGCAACGCTTGGCCCGACACCAAGCACCGACCGGCCAGCCATGCTGCCACCTGTACCTGCACCGCATGGAGGACGACCGGGCATAGTTGGAAATATCGGCAGAGAGATGACAACACCGCCAGACAGCCACGCTCCCGAGCGACCATTTTGTTGCCACCGCCTCAAGGGATCTAGGCCTCTTGCGTCGGATCCTCGCTGGGGGAACACCAGATCTGGACGTTGGGGTGCTAGATTCAGCTGCCCCCCTCGCCGCTGCCTGCCGGTCCGCTGCCAAACGCACTGTCGAGCTCTTGCTCTCCTTCACCTACCCCGCCGCTAGCAAGTCTCGCCACTGGAACCGGTCGGGATGTCTGGATCTGGCCGGTGCAGCGCTCCCCCCGCTGCATCGATGCCCCTCACGCTGTCACGTCATTTAGGGAGAAAGAGAACCCCACCACCGCCGTCCTTGCAGCCTGCCGGTAAGCCAACCTGTTTAGGCGGCGGCGAGGTGGGCGTGAGGAGGGAGGGGAGCGGTGGCTGGTGGATGGGCGCAGTTCGCGTCGCCCCTAGGACTGGAGCGACCCGGACGGGAGACTGGACTAGCGAGCTAGGACGACGGCGCTTGGTGTGGTGCGTTCTTTCGCCATCTGGACGGCCGGTGGTGGCTGGAGATAGGAGGCAGCGTCCCGGAACAAATGTCAGCCACTATCTGCCAGACCTTTCAGGGCTCTAACTCCAGCTTACCGTGCAGTAGAATGAACGTCAGTTCTTGGTCCTTCTTCATACTTCCAAGCTGCATAAACGTCACAAATAGAACAGCACACTTGTTATTTTCGTACTACAGTCACAGTTTTGTGTTAGTGCAACAACTATGTCAGCCAATTGAGCTGACAAATGAAGCATACAAAATAGTGTGTAAGCTCATTAAAGAGGGGATATTTTCTGTTAAATACTTTTACAGAGCTGAGCCATCAAGTTGCAAAACAATGGGTTCCAATTCAAAAGGGATCTGGAAATATAAAATTTCAGCAGGGATCAAAGTTCTCATTTGGTTACTTATGAAAAGTAGCATCTTGACAAAAGATAACCTCTTGAGAAGAAGATGGAAAAAGCAAAGAACAAAAAAGTGCTAGCTTTTGTTCCGCGGATGAAACTGTTATACACATGTTTGTGAAATGCCAACTTGCTAATTTCTTATGGAATGGCATGTATAGATGGCCGAATAGGTCGCCCGGTCTGGGCCGAGGTTAGTCGGGCTGGCACAACATGCCGGGATGCGTCGTGCTAGCCCACGGGCTGCACACATGGCCCAATAAGACTCGGGTCGTGCCGGGTCGGCCCGAAGACATGGCAGCCGATTGTGCTTCTCCATAGAATAAGTATATTTTTTCTCCATCAACTCTTTGGGCTGTGTCTTATATAGCTGAAAATAAGTCCATTTTATATCCCTCATCTCTTTGGGCCTTTGCCTTATATGATTCATTAAGTCTATTTTGGATCCCTCAACTATTTTCTTCTATTGTGCCGGACCGGACCGGCCCACCGTGCCAAAGCATTGGCCCAGGCACGACACAACTGTCAGGCCGGACCGTGCCGTGCTTGAGCCGGGCCATCGGGTGGGCCTTATGGCCATCAATAATGGCATGTACTTTAATTTGAAGAAAATGAGGTCGGCTGGTGACGGCAGCTTCAACAGCGGCGAGCTGAGAACGCCCATGGGTGGCTGACTTGGCTGGTTCTCGTGGCCGATTGGAGTTGATGGAAGGGGTAGAAAGAAATCGTGGCGGAGTGGCAAGGTTTGAATTTTACAAAATTTCAGTAGCACACACCCGATATTGTTAATAGCAATGACATTTTTTAAAAAAATCGGTAAATTTGTAATGGCATGGATCTAATTAACTATATTTTTATGCCGAATTTTAGTTATTTCTAAATTATATTTCTACTTGAACTCTTTTTTATCTTTTTGTCCGATGAATGTGAGAAAATTAATCTAACCTCCATAGTAAACATGGTGCCTCATTTCAAGAGGGAATGCGGTGCCTAATTGCAAGGTTGTTTTAATATAATAGATAGATGAATAATATCCATCATATCTTTGGTTGATGGTTACATAGCTTCAATAAGAATGATACGAAATTGGTGGTGATTGGGATAGCTCTGCTATCACTAGAAGAGATACCATCATCTCAATCGGGCGGTAAACCCCATCTCAATCGGGCACGGCGTCCGTCACAGGCTAGAAGTCACAGATGTGAAGAGTTATTTCAATCGGGCAAACGGCCGTCACGGATAAATCTATCTCAATCGGGCCCTAATTAAAGGGCGTCACCGATAGCTTTGACCCAGACGACCAGTCAAACTATAGCCCGTCACGGATGAACAACTACGCCCGTCACAGATGACCCTTATCTTTACCCACGCGGGGATGAATCTATCTCAATCGGGCCCTAATTAAAGGGCGTCACCGATAGCTTTGACCCAGACGACCAGTCAAACTATAGCTCGTCACGGATGAACAACTACGCCCGTCACAGATGACCCTTATCTTTACCCACGTGGGGATGAATCTATCTCAATCGGGCCCTAATTAAAGGGCGTCACCGATAGCTTTGACCCAGACGACCAGTCAAACTATAGCCCGTCACGGATGAACAACTACGCCCGTCACAGATGGCCCTTATCTTTACCCACGCGGGAAGTTCAAACTTCCCGGTCGGTCACCCACTATAGCCCGTCACGGATGAACAACTACGCCCGTCACAGATGATCCTTATCTTTAGGTCAAGCACGCTTAACATTAAAGTTCTTTAGAGATTAGCTTCCAGAAAAGTAGTTATAACTTGTTGGTATAAGTATTCTATTAATCCTATTAAGCCCTAGGCCAGGATGTCAAATTGGGGTTATTAAATGATTTCAAATGGAAAAGTCACCAAAACCAAAGTTGTAGAACTCATCGAGGTGCAAAATTTTTATTTTGGTCATTTCTCCATCTGACGCTATTTAAACAATTTGAAATTTGAAATTCAAAGTTTGAAAAGTTCAAATAGAATTTTAGATCAGTGAACGACTTCAACTGAAAAAGTCATCAACAACAAAGTTGTATAACTCATCAAGATCTATAATTTTTATTTTGGTCATTTTTCTATATAACATTTTTTGAACCGTTTGAATTTGAATTTGAAAATATGACAACTTCAAACAACATTTTCAAATACTAAATGATATCAACTGAAAAAGTCATCAACAACAAAGTTGAATAACTCATCAAGATCTAAAACTTTTATTTTGGTCATTTCTTCATACGACAAAGTGATAGTAACATTGTTCACAAAATTGATATATCTCTTATCTGGTTTTATAAACTACAACATTGTTCACAAAGAACGAGGAACGACGCTGACCCCAGATCGTTTCGTCGGTGTTATCGACATCGGTTCTTCCGAACCGTCAGTCCTGCATCTACTCGAGGACTACGACTCCTCGTCAACAAGTACGCCACGTGAGGTATTGGCTATCGACGGGACAGGCACATCGGCACGCGCTAATACCGGGGCGGAAAATCAGACGTCTACACCGGCTCAGCACATCAGGACCCTCAACGCAATACTGAGGGAGACCCCTTATGACCCCGTTCTACACGATGACCTCGCACAATGGACGGAACGGTTACGGGAGTCAGTGACCAACCTCAGCAACGAGTTCGAACAGGCCGCCGCTGCAACCCACCCGGAACAGCAACCAACTACTGGTGCCAATGGCGAAAACCCCGAACAGCGGGAATCACCCCATCGAGCCAGCCCTCCACCTCGCGGCACCAGCGATCTCCGCGATCACCTAAACGGTCGCCGAGAAGCTCGTCGCACATGGGAAAACGAGAACCGTTCCCGGCATCACGTTTCTTCACGACATCACGACAATGAAGAACGAGGAGGCCGCTCGAACGAAGACCAAGACCGTGATCACCGCCACAACCGTCATATTCGCGACGATCGTGAGCGACGGACGCCGGGCGATACCAGTCGAGGACGCCGCCATCATGACGAAGACGACAGAGAACGGCGCCGGGACAACAACGGAGGGCGACGACAGGATTCTCGAGAACCCAGCCGGCATTCTCGTAATCCTACACCGGAACCAAGCGACCCATCGTCGTCCTTATCTTCTTCCTCCTCCTCATCGTCAGACAGACATCCACGAAGGACATACGATCGCCGACAACCCACCGCCCCTAGTGCTGGGTGTAGGGCTTTCGGTCGTTCGTTGCGCGATGTCCGATGGCCTGAGAGGTTCCGACCGGGGGCAATAGAAAAGTACGATGGGAGCACTGACCCAGAAGAATTTCTTCAAGTCTACTCCATAGTACTCTATGCTGCCAGAGCGGACGACAACGCGTTGGCGAATTATTTGCCAACTGCGTTAAAAGGCTCTGCGCGTTCATGGTTGATGCACCTTCCGCCCTACTTGATTTCTTCGTGGGCAGACCTATGGCAGCTGTTCGTCGCCAACTTCCAGGGAACCTACAAACGCCACGCGATCGAAGACGACTTACACGCATTGGCACAGAGCTCGGGTGAATCCTTGAGGGAATATGTTCGGCGCTTTAATGAGTGCAGAAATACAATCCCCGAAATCACCGATGCTTCTGTAATTCGCGCCTTCAAGTCCGGTGTTAGAGATCGCTACACTACCCAGGAGTTAGCAACGAGACGCATCACAACTATTGGAGACTGTTCGAGATTGTTGACTGACGTGCCCACGTTGACGATGCACTTAGACGCAAGAACGACAAGCCGAAGACCGAGGGCGAGAAGAAATCAGCCACGGACACACCTGAGTCAAGCAAAAAGAAAAATCGCAAGAACGCGAAAAGGAAAGCTCAAGCAGAAGTACTCGCAGCAGAATATGCTAACCCTCCCAAGCGCCCAAACCCACAAGGTAGTGACGCAAGGAAAGCATGGTTCCCATACACAAGTCGAACAGACATTCTTTGGAAGACTGCCTTGTTTCCAAAAAATCGCTCGAGAAGCACATGACATCGGAACAAGGCAAACGAGTACGCGTGGTCGAGAAGGATACGGAGATGACCGCTCAGGAGTCGGACCCAGCGTATCCAGACTCTAACCTCCACGTCTCACACATTTTCGGAGGCTCTACAGCGTACTCCTCCAAGCGAGAGTATAAGAAAGTGGAGCGAGAAGTCTGCTCGACGTGGCAGGGGGCTGCACCCAAGATGAAGTGGTCTGAACAGAAGATACAATTTTCGGAAGATGACCATCCCAAGACCGCCGTTATCCCAGGACGCTATCCGATCGTGGTCGAACCCACTATTCGGAACATCAAGGTCGCGCGGGTTCTCATCGACGGTGGCAGCTCAATCAATCTCCTCTTCGCCAGCACATTGGACGCCATGGGAATACCACGAAGCGAGTTGACAGCCACCGATCAACCCTTCCATGGAATTACTCCCCAGTCTTCGTCCAAACCAATGGGAAAAATCACGCTGCCTGTGACTTTCGGCCAAGCAAACAACTTCCGGACAGAGTAGTTCAACTTTGATGTCGCTGAATTCGATACAGCGTATAGCACCATCATCGGGAGAACTGCACTTGCGAAGTTCATGGCCGCATCTCACTACGCGTATTAAGTGCTCAAGATGCCAGGGCCGAAGGGAACAATCACCATCCAAGGGAACGCAAAGCTGGCGGTACAATGTGACAAGCGGAGCCTCGACATGGTCGAGCAAACGCCAAGTACACCCGCCACAACCGAGCCACCCAAGAAAATGAGCAAGACAAACAAGACGCTGAAACCGGACGGCGCAATCAAGACTGTTCCTCTCTCTAGTGCCAACCCCGACAAGACCATCAAGATCGGGGCATCACTAAACGAGAAATAGGAACTCACGCTCATCACCTTCCTCCGCGACAATGCTGACGTGTTCGCTTGGCAGCCGTCTGACATGCCGGGCGT